TTTTTTTTGGTGAAAATATACATAGCCAAAGTTACACCATTTCAAAAGTTTCTAAATGTACATTTCAGTGCAATCAATTACATTCTGCCAGTTGTGCTGCTATTCTCACTATCCTTTTCCAAATTATTCCATCACCATTATCTTCAACTCACGGCCCCCTACGCTTCCCATCAAACCTTTTGAGTAGCTATTGTCAATTTGATCTCACATGGATAATTCTTTCTTTTTTTTACCTTAGATGAAGGTTTGCAGAACAAATAGTTTCTCATTAAACAGTTGGTACACATATTGCCCTATGACAATGGTTAACAACCCCACTACATGTCAACACTGTCCTTTCTCAACGTTGGGTTCCCTATCACCAGCTTTCTTGTCCCCTCCTGCTTACTAGTCCTTGTCCCTGGACTGCTGTGCCTCATTAGTCCCATTTTGTTTTATGAGGCTGTCCATTCCTCGGCTGAACGGTGAACTTCGGAAGTGACTTCACCACTGAGCTAACAGGGTGTCCAGGGGCCATACTCTCAGGGTTTCTCCAGTCTGTCAGGCCAGCAAATCTTGTCTTTTTTTTTGTGAGTTAGAATTTTGTGAGTCAGAATTTTGTGAGTCAGAATTTTGTTCTACATCCTTTCCCAGCTCTGTCCAGGACCCTCTATCGTGATCCCGGTCAGAGTAGTCAGTGGTGGTAGCCGGGCACCATCTAGCTGTATTGGACTCAGTCTGATGGAGGCTGTGGTAGCTGTGGTCCATTAGTCCTTTGGACTAATTTTTCCTTGTATCCTGTTCTCTTCATTCTCCTTTGCTCCCGAAGGGGTGAGACCAGTGGAATATCTTAGATGGCTGCTCACAGGCTTTGAACACCCCAGATGCTACTCACCAGCGTAGACTGTAGAACATTGTCTTTATAAACTGTGTTATACCTGTTGAGCTAGATGTTCCCCGAGACCAGAGACCATGGTCCCCACAGCCCTCTGTAGAAGTTTTTATACTGAACTGAGCACTTTCCCTTCTTAAATATTTTTCCAGTTAAGTAACTTTTAGAACTACTGTGTTCTAGAGGAACTTTAGAGACCCTGGAAAAGGAATGACAAGCATAATGAATTAAGGAATATTTGTGAGTACTTAATGGAAGATTTTTTAAAAATCTGTGAAATGTAGCCTTTGCTCAAAAGAAACTTATGATGTTGTTGGTGGAGACTAACCAAAAAAAAAAAAAAAATGCCAAACCTATTAACATGGAGTCGATTCCGACTCATAGCGACCCTATAGAACAGAGTAGAACTACCCCATAGGGTTTCCAAGGAGCGGACGTGGATTCGAACTGCCGACATTTTGGTTAGCAGCTGAGCTCTTAACCACTGTGCCACCAGGGCTCCTAGGACAGGCATAATTAGAGTACAATGCATAGGTTGAGAACATACCAGTCACTACATTGCACAGTAGAAGAATTGAGAGGAACATAGAATAGAGTAGGTATTCTATAGGTTTTCAAGGGAACTTGCAGAGAAAGAGCAGAGCAAAGTGGGCTTGAAAAACAAGATGTCTACACTAACTAGGGATGAAAGTATAGTAGAAAATAGTAAGTGGGAGGAAAATTGGGTTTAGGGTAGATATTTAGATAAATTTGATGAAGTTGACAGGTTATAAACCAGATTAGAAGGATACATTAATGACACAGAAAAATGTTCTAATTGAAGGATTTATAGGAATGATAACTTTAAAGTTTCTTTTAGAAATCTGGTGTGATGGTACAATCTAGCACACATTTTCCAGGTGGTAATACTTCATAATTGGATTCAGTCGGGGCATAGGAAGCCAATGCCTACTAATTTATAATAATATAATATAATATAATATAATATAATAATATAATGTCCATCTTCAATAAAGTTAATAGTAAATATAACCAAATTTCTTTTTGCCATTAATCACGTTTGTTTATCAGTCAGTGAAATAAAACGAAAATATGCAACAAAGTAACTAGTAAAATCAGACCAGTATTTTTTCTAACTGAAATTAAATTTTTAACATCTCAGAGTTCAGATAAGGCAGGATATGATAGCGATTAGCCAGGAACCCTTTTAGATTAATGTTTCCACAAAATAATAAATATTGGCAAAAAGAGTTCTTGATACAGCAACTTGGGGAAATATAAAGTTAAACATAGAAGCGCTGGTGGCACAATGGCTAAAAGCGCTCAGCAGCTAACTGAAAGGTCAGCAGTTAGAACCCACTAGCTGCTCTGTGGGAGCAAAGACCTGGAGATCTGCTCCCATAAAGATTACAGCCTAGTAGACCCTATGGGGCAGTTCTACTCTGTCCTGTAGGATCCTTATGAGTCGGAATTGACTCAATGCAAACAACAACAAAGTTAAACGTATCTTTAAGATGGAGCACCTCTTCAATATAATGGCAATCTTCATTTTGCATCTTCAAGAGAAAGTGCTGCTTCTTTTAAATGGAAAGACTTTCCTTCTGAATATCTTGAGGAACAAATACATTAAATGCAATTTAAATTCCTAGATAATAGTGATGGATTTTAAGCATTCAAGTCAAACTAACAAAAATGAGTTGTTCTAAAAGTGGCTTTTTAGTTTTACTATAATAAAATATTATTAGCATATATATAGATCTAAACATATTATTTTTATAAACATTTTAATTTGAAAAAATGGAATATTTTACCCTAAATTTTGTAACTCCTGAAAAAGTAAAAATTTTAAAAACTGAGTCAAATTAAATGTTGATTACAATTATAGAGGTTCTGAAAGTGGAATAACTGATTTTTATTTTTTGACAACTACTTAAAATTTCAGGAGTACTAGCAAATCTTACTATCGTTTTGTTTAGTACACATTCAACCCTTTTTAATTTTACTCTGTATAGTAACTTTGAATAATTCCATGATAGCATAAGTTGAACTTCTTATCAAAAAGATAATATTTAACTTTCAACATATATATCACTATCTAATTTCTTTTTTACATTTTTAAAAATTTAAATCTTTCATTTTGTTTTTCTCTAAGAGGTTGAACAGGTATGTGCATGATTTTTGTTGGTTATTCCATACTACAAAAATTTTAGCATAATTTTATTTTTAACATAATTCTGGGAATAATTTTTCTGGTCACATGGAGAATAGTATTTGAGATGCATGGATGGTTAACAAGATCAGTGCATGTTGATGCTGCAGACCATCTCTGGCCCTCTATCATCTGTATTAGTTGTGGTTGCAATGTTTGATATTTCCTTGGTCTCCAAAGCTTATCATCTACGCCGTGAAGAAACAGATTGGTTTGACAAACCCAGGGAGTCTCGTTTGGAAAATGGACATGGTCTGGACAGAAAATTGCCAGAAAGATTGGTCCACTCTAGACCACTCAGTCAACATCAAGAGCAAGTGAGTGCTATATTTAGCCGTCTCTTTTATATTTATCATAAATATAAAAAAAAAAACACCTCAGTTCTACCCTGGAGTGGTCTCAATTATGCTAAAATGAATGCGTGGTACCTTTGTCAGTCAAATGACTTTTTTTCAGTAACTGAAAGTGGTAAGTACCCTACTTCATCTGTAATTAAATCATCAATGGTTGTTTGCACTGGGACACAAATGTAATGCTTCTAATAACCAGGTGATTTAAGTAATTTGTTCCTCCAGTTGATAATTATTAAGTTCGTATGACATACCCAGGCACTGCTATACAGGGAGAATACATAGATCTCCTGAAGAGTTTACAGGATATTCAGTGTAATAGATTCAGGCCAATGTGGAATACTTTCCAGTAACAGTATGTTCAGGTGCTAAGGAATAGCAAATAAGGGGATGACCAAACCAAGTCAATGACAGACAAAGAAGCTCCACCTGGGGGAGAGATGGGAACTGATATTTTAGAGAGTCTACTATATGGAAATGTTAGTTATTTTACATTCATTATTGGATTTTGTCTTTAGAACAACTTAGAAAAGGGGATATTATTAATATCACTTTATAGATGAAGAAACTAAAGCCTAGAGGTAAATTTCAAAATCTGACAAATATGACCCCAAAATCCACAACCTTATGTCACATTAGAACAAATGAGGTGATGTGTGAATTGAGTTTTGTAAAGTTAAGTAGAAGATTGACAGTGGATAAATTGAGAGCGAGTCCTCCGGTAAGCCTCAAAAAAAATAAATAAATAAATAACCTGTTGCTGTTGAGTCATAGCAACCTGAGTTGAGTCAATTCTGACTCATAGCAACCATACAGGACAGAGTAGAACTACCCAGTAGGGTTTCCAGGGTGCGGCTGGTGCATTCCAACTGACCACCTTTTGGTTAGCAACCATAGCTCTTAACCACTGCACCACCAGGGTGGTGATAAATCAATTGCCTTAGAAGATTAGATATTTGTAGGCTGTGTATTCATTATGGTTATTAAAATACCCAAAAAAGAGATAGTCCATTTATTTCACTTACATTAACTCTTAAATATTCCTATTTAGTGATTCACTGATATAAAAGACAACTACATTCTGTACAACTAAGTAGAGCTATGTAAACTTAGTATAATTTAATTCAGCATTGGTTATATTAAGCTATAAAAGAAAACAAGACTTTTGCATGTATAAGTACCATCTAAAAGACAAATAATCTATACTAGAAGACTGGATTTCTCCCTAAGCAATTTCAGTTTTCATGGACAAATTTCTTACTGTTAAATAGAATTTCTTTTTCTCAGAATTTTGTTCTGTTTTGTTTTTCAATATGCTGTCTTATTGTGCAGGAATCTTGGGATTCTTCTCTATATGTTGTAAATATTCTTTATTACTAGATTTTGGTATTTTTAATAAATTTTTTAAGTTTATGTTTACCTGTATAAACTTCAATTTTTCTCAGAATTTTGTTGTGTTTCGTTTTTCAGTATACTGTCTTATTTTCAAGGAATCTATGAATTTTCTAGGAATGTGTATTTTCGTGCTGGAAGTAATTTTTTACATTTTTATTGTGAAATCTAATATGCAAACAAAAACTACATATATGCAGTTATCAAAACTGCAAATATGCAAAGTTATCAACTAAGGATGAAGTAAAATGTCATATAACGTCTGTACAGGCCAAGAAACGGAATCATTGCCCCTAAAAATCCCCATGTGCCCCTCCCAGATCATAATCTTCTCCTCCCATATAGGTAACAAATATGCTGTCTTTTTTGACAATCATTTCTTTGTTTTTCTTTATAGTTTCCTAAATAGAAGCTACATAGAAGACAGCATACACTGTGATTAGATTTATATAAAGTTCAAAATTCATGCTGTTTTGCATGAATATTTATTTGCAAATACTTTCTTCCTCATTAACTCATCATAACTATATTTTAATCTAGAGAGAATAAGAAAATGGTATACTTGGTTTGTTCGCTTATTTGCATCTCTAGTCATAAAAAGGTAATATTAAACTCTTGGTACCAATAAACCCAGATGCTTTTATTTGAAAACTTATCCATAACAAGAATTTATGCTCATAAAAAGCTCTGGAGGCAAAGTAATAAAAACAAATTGACTAATGCAAACACTAATTTATCTGCTTTTAAAAATGTTTTACATAAAAACCTAACACATAAGAGAGATAGAAGAATATTTCTGAAATTTTTTAGTAGACTCACAATCATATTAACTATAAAAATAAGCCAAATCTGCAAATCCATATTTGTTTTGTTTGTTTAACCTCTGCACTATTGAGTGGAAATTCAACTCTGCTTTGTAAATTGAGCAGATCGTGTAACCTCTTTTTTTATTTTTTCTTAGTTACTTTATCTATAAATAGGAATAATACCCTTCACAGCGTGATTGCAGAAGTCAGTGCTTCTTGACTGCTACAAAATGCCTCCACTCTACACTAATGCCCATGCCCTCTGCAATTCCCATGCAACTACTACATGACAGTACGTTAAGCTCCTCTGAAAGAACCACAGTCTCCTTATTCTGGATCTTTAAGTGTTGTTTCCTCTCCCTGAACACTGTTCTTTTCCCTACTTATCTTCTCTTTGCTAACCCTACTCATCACTCATGGCTTCAAGTACATGTCCCATCTTGCGAGAAGCCTTCTGTTACAGATTCAGTTTTGTCCCCCCAAAATATGTGTTGTAGATCCTAACCTCTATTCCTGTAGTTATAATCCCATTTGGGAATGTGTTGTCTTTGTTATGTTAATGAGGCAGGATTAGTGTAGGGTATATCTTAAGTCAACTTCTTCTGTGATATAAAAGAGATTAAATGAGTGAGCGAAGTAGAGATGAGGAAAGAGAGACGACAAGCGACATGAAGATTGCCCAGGAGCAGAGGATCAAAAGAGACAAGTACCTTCCTTCAGAGCCAACAGAGAAAGAAAGCCTTCCCCTAGAGCTGGCACCCTGAATTCAGACTTCTAGCCTCCTAAACTGTGAGAAAATAAATTTCTGTCTGTTAAGCCACCTACTTGTGGTATTTCTGTTATAGCAACACTAGATAACTAAGACAACTTCCTTGTCAACACCGCCACCATCTCACCACCATTCCAGATTAAGTGCTGTTACTTTGTGCCCCAATATTACCCTGGGTGTTATGTTTTGTGCTGTGAGCAGCAGGAGCTCTCTATTCCATTCACTATGGCATATATATATTGCCTAGCACAGTACTTGGAACGCAGTAGGGTACTCTGGCCCCTGCATCTGGCATAGTAGGTGGCCCGTGGTGAGGGAATGGATTTAAGTGAGAGAATGGATGAATTTCTGTATAAATAAATAGTATGTTCACACAAAAGTTATTATTGCATAAGTATGAAGACTAGATTCAAGAAAATAATTTCTTATTGAGATATTGAAACATAGGTAGTGAAGAAGAACAATCCCTTTTCTTGGAGGCATACAGGTGATAGTTCTGACAATGCAAAATCACCAAAAAATAGTAATATCAGAGACCAACCCCCTGGGGAGAAGTATGGGGTACTACTTGACATCAGCTCTGCCATCTGGTCTTGCTCCTACTCTGACTTGTCAAAAGCAACACCCACCTTTAGCCCATCTGCTAGAGACTTCTCACAATATTTACCTGTGATGGTTAGAAAAAATTAGATCTATCTATTTCATACATGGGAGACAGATGTCTCTGCTTTCTATAGATTCTTGGTCTAACTGATCACCATATGGCAGTTTAATGTTTCTTACTTATTAAATGAACTCATGAAGCTTGTTGTACGTTCATAAAAATGAAGATGTGTAGTACCCCTTTCACTAACATCATCACAGGTATAAATTAAAAGGCAGTACTGCCTACTTGATAAACTCTAATTAAACCTTAGGAAACCTGATTATTCTTCTAAATTGTGCAAGAGTGTACTATGAGCTTACATCAACTTTTTCGCAGTTGGAAAAATTGTTCCATTTTTCATATGTTGAGACTGAGGGAGAGGCTCGCAGAGTAGAGGATCTGATGCTATGAAACCAATTTTTTTTCTTTCTTTATGACTTTCTAGTCTCTACCATGCCTAAAAGACTTAAAGTGATGGCATGAGTGTTTTACTTGTTCTCTTAAATTTCCATTAAAAAAAAAAAGGTGAAAAAAAATTTTCCTAAAGTGATAGACACAAGATTCCATGCTAATAAAATCCTGTTAATATAGATATGAATAATATTTTACTATTTCTATATTCAATTATTTCACAAATCTCCTTTGGAAGCTGTATTAAATATAAAGCAGTAGTTTGTATTCACTGATTTACATTTGTTTCCAAAAACTCATTTCACCAGGTGGAAATAGAGATAATGTAGCCTATGGTATTCTCATGCTGAAGACTCAATAATGAGAATTGAAATCACAGACATGCAACCGTAGCTTTAAGTGTTGCTTCTGCTAAGGAATGTGTACAGCAAATAAAAAATAACGTCATCAATAGCACAAGCTTTAAATAAAAAGAAGGGCTCAGAAAGTACTAGAATGAACAAAGCCTTAATTTATTTACACAGAATTAATCCCAGCATCCAGTGTACGTTGAAATTATTAGATGCGCTCAGCAAAAGTACAATTCCTCAATAAAATCAAAGCAACCTAAACATAAAGCAATCCAATGATAATGATACAGTTGCAGGGTATAAGAAACATCCCTGGTTTTTCTTTCATAGCACCACTTAATTACTGAAAAATTTAAAATGCCTTTCCATCTCTAGGCAGTCCAGAGCAAAGTCAGTAGGTCGCAATTTTCCATGCACATTGTTTATCCACTGTCATTGTCTGCTTACTACAGTAGTAACAGACGTCCTTTAGAACTTATTACATATTCTCTCATTAACTTACCAAATAAAACAAATCAGTTTGCAAGATCAATTGGTTATAAATGCAAAAACCATAACTGTAAATATAATTTTCACGTAAGTACCATATTTTTACGCAAAGATTGTGCTCCTTCTACATTTGTTTGCCAATCGTTCCCTCCTCCTCCGAAGTATTTTCACAAGCACCATTATGCCTTTTTTTTTAACATGTTGTAAGAAAGTTAGCATAGAGTGCTGACGAAAATACCTCGTGGAGGGAGGGAGCGGTTGGCAAATAAACGTAGAAGACGGGCACTATTTACCTAAAAACACCGTACTCAGAAACCAATGATGTCATTACATAGTCTAAGATGCTCAAATTCTTAGCATTTAAAATTTTTCTAATATATTTGTTGATTTAATCAACCTGGTTTTAAATAAGCACATCTAATTCTGTATATTGTACTTTAAGTGTCTTTATCATTAATTTTTCACCTTATCATGTGTACGTCTTAGATTCTACAGATGAATGGGAAGACTGTACATTACATCTTTCCCCACGCAAGGATAAAAATAACAAGAGACTCTAAGGATCACACGGTTTCAGGTAAAGCAGATCAAACAAACCAGTCCTTCTTACTTTAATTGATGTATGTATTTTTATTTCAGTTTAGATGACTTCTTGAATGCTAGAAAACACCACTTTTTAATATAAAAATTTTTTCTTTGGAAATTCTAAAAAATAAGCAACAAATATATTTGAACATAGTATGCATTAATGACATGATCTTTAATATGAGAACTTACCAAATGGTGCATATTTAGATCCTTCTTTTTATTAAGTGCAATTTGTTAAATATTCATGGGATTAAAATGTTCTGTAACCAATGTTCAGTGAAGTAATATGGCCACTGTTTTTAGGGCTATAAATCCAGGAGTCAAGAAAATATCTTGTATTCTTTAAAGGAATAACCACTCAATTTCAACACTGTTAATTATACTGGCTATTTGTTAGTTTGTATCATTTTGTAAAGCAAAGTTGATAATGGATTTTTGAAACTTTTTATTTTGAAATAATTTTAGATTCCCAGAAAAGATGCAAAAATAGTACAGACAGTTCTTCCCACCATTCACCCAGCTTGCCTTAATGTTAACATCCTATATAACCACTGTAAATTTTTAAAAACCAGGAAATTAATATTGATATGCCACTATTAGCAAATTTACACACTATACTTCAAATTTTATGTTTTCCCATTAACGTTCTTTTTTCTGGTCCAGGATACAATCCAAGATCCCACATTGCATTTCGTTGTCATGATTCCCTAGTCTCCTCCAATCTGGTAGTTCCTACGTCTTCCTCTGCCTTTCATGACCTTGACACTTTTGAAAGAATGGAATTTTTTATATTACAAATAGAAAAAAAAGTCTATTATTTAAATATGTGAGAATAAATATAATTTTTCCAGAGCTAATAAATTGTCAAAAGATGAATATTACCTATATTCTCATTCAAGTAAATGCTTTATGTTTTGTAGATACTGTACCCCAACAGAAAATAATCATAAATATAGATATTTGTTTGTGGATATATGTATAGGCAGTAGATCTGACACTGTGTATGTGCTAGGAGTTTTTTCAAATGCTGATATAACAAAGAGCAAGAGGAAGTATTTCTTCAGTGTATCTGCTATTGTTGCTTGCAGATTTTAGACCATGTACCATGTGAATGTGGAACACATTTTGCTTTGAGCAAATTTCCTCTCTTTATTTTCATAGAGAATGAATCAACTAGGAATGTAATGTTTCCCTTTTAAGATTGGGTAAATTTTCTTCTGCCAGATACAAATAATTCAACCTTTCATAGTTTTATTGCTATTCATACTGTAGTTTAATTACTGATGAAATTTCAAGGATAAGTCTTAAAATCCAGAGGGTTTTTTGTTTTTTGTTACACGTAATTACTTGCTACAGACTATTTTGGTTTCCTCCAAATACAAAATAATCTTTCCAGCAATGCCAAAATTATTCATTTTTTCGGAAGGTGCTACAGAAATAGTCAAACCATTTTTACTAAGTCATCATCATCCTATATCAATATATCTGTTTTTTAACTTTATTATTATTTTTATACTATATTACAAGAATAATCTACTCAACCTTATTATTTTAACACATTATTTTTATTTGGTGTCTTTTACTACAACTAGCAAAAAGTTTTAAAGTATAAGCATAACAGAAATAAGTGATATTAACTTTTTGTTATAAATATTCTAGCCTCAAAACTGAATTCAATTTCCCCTGTACATCCAGATTTTGCAGAATGGGAAAAGCAGATTATGTTATGAACAATACATTTACTAGCAGTATGCTATATCATCTATCTACATTCTACTTTTTTCTCCTGATATGTACATGAAATAATAATTAAAATATTTTCTTGTTATATTTACCCTGCATTGATTACTACTGAATATATTTCCTGTAAGTCCTTAGCAAACATGATACTGCATTTAATTAAATATTTTTTTTAAATCTGTATTGTTTTCAAATAAGTCTTTAGTACTTCCAGTTGTTTGAATTCTTGTATATGTAAGGCTAGAGCCAGCAATGACTATCTCTGGCAAATAGTACCTAGAAGTTCTAAGCCAGTGACAGACAAACACTGGCATGGAGAGTTTACAGTCCTGGCTAGTCCCTATATCATTTGCTGCCCAACCAAAAGCCTAGTATGACTATTTAAATATTTGTTGTTATTAAGGATTTATCATTATTTTTCAGCTGAGATGTTTTGGTTTTTAATTAATAGTATTTCTTTTATAAACAGACACATACTGAACTATTTACAGATGAAGTGATATCTGAGATTTACTTTAAAATTATCTAAGTAGGAAGAAACGTGGAAGTATATGAGACAAAACTGACCATGATTTGTTAATTGCTGGAGCTGGAAAATTAAACACATTAGGTTTTATTATGGTTTTTGTTACTACTTTTTTATATATGTGAAATTTTGCATAATAATTTTTTTCCTTAATTTTTTGTTTGTTTCTCATGTTTAGACAACAGCAGCAGTGTTCAGTAGCTTTATCAATCATGAAAAAGCTATCTAAGCTAATAATTTAATGCTTTTGTAAGACAAAATAAGGATGTGAGACATGAATCACAAATAACATAGAATATATGTTGCCCCAAACAAAGTGGAAAATGGGCACCAACAAATTTTCATTTTGGTTACATAAACACATTGAAAGTAGAAATACTACGTATTTTTATAACATTTTCATGGAGTGTTTCAGCTAGGTGTGACATTAAAATGTTTTTATAATAATTATGTAAAATAAAAACACCTCACAAAAGAAAAGAGAAAAATATTTTTATATTTTGGAAACAAAAATAATCTCAAAATAGGAGATGAAACTAGAAAGTGTTCATCATTTCTCCTTATGTAGTTGTCAAAGTGGGGTCAGGGGAACTCTTACAGTCCCTGAGACTCTTTAGAGGATCCACCAGGTCAGACCTATGTTCATAGGAATGTGAAGACAGCATTCACCCTTTTATTCTCATTCTCATATGAATACATAATAGAGTTTCTCAGAGGCTACATGATGTGTGATATTACAACCCACTGCATACAGAGCAGATATGAGATTTAAGCTTTCTATTAAGCCCAATATTAAGCAGATTTAGAAACATGTAAAACAATGCCACTCTTCTCAGTACATTTTTTTTGTGGAAAAGAGTTATTTTTTATAAAAATATATGACTTATGTTATCATAGAATGGGATTATTATTGTTATTTTTAAAGTATTAAAAATAGATTTTTTTCATTCTCAGTTTTAATTTGTAACACAGAAAATATAGATATAATTCATATAAACAAAAGTTCTTTGGTGTCCTCAGTAATATTAAAGTGTATAAACTACTCTTGAAGCCAAAAAATTTGAGAAGCACTGTTCTAATTATACTTACAGAGAAAGTGAATAAATAAATGTTTAAAAAGGTTTCTATCTATGAAAAAACATATAAATAAAATATATTTTTACAATGATTCATAACTTACTTTGTGTGTATATTTTTATTTATTAATAATCATTCATTGAGTACCATTTATGACTTGCATTGTGTTGACTGCTTAGTATAATGGATACAACAATGAATCTGATCTTTAACTTACTCATACTCTAGTAGGAGAAACCAAAATGTAAATAATCATCACTATAATATGTTAGGAACAACTGATACAAAAGCCAATGAATTTATAACATTTTATTGTTCACATCATGTATATGTTTTATGTTTAAGTATATACACACAAATGCATATGTACCATTACTTACAATTTTTTAATGTAGAGAGAAACGTATGGATACAATCCAATATAAAATGGTTCATAATTTTTAGAAAATGGATCTTTTGATTTTTAAACTGTAAACTTAAAAAAGATGTAGCTATATGTGTTTATCAACAACTGTACAATGGCTTTGAAAATCTTTATTCAACCTAGTACAAGGCAGCAGAGTGGAGAGAATAGGCCACGAGTTTTGGAATCAGAAAGACCTGAGTTGGAATTCATCTCCATCACTTATTAAAATTTTGAGAATAAGTTTGTTCATCACTAAAATGAGGCCAGTTTTATGTATCTCATATAATTGCAAATGAACCTAGCACAAAGCCATCTACTTACTATACACTCAATGAATGTTGTTTTTCCTTAGAAAGAAATGATCAGAAAAAAAAAGTAGAACAAAATATAGTGCTCATGAAATGAGTATTTTTCTTTTTTATTTAGAACTTCATCTTATATGGCTCCAGAAACACAGCTGTTTGAAACAAACCAAAGAAATTCTGATTTTAAAAAAGTCATTTGCTTATGTACAGTATCATAATGGACTGGCTACATCTGCAAGGCCTGAAAGACTGATTAGCAAGTGTAATGGTGAAGAATATTTAAAATGTTGTTAAATTCAGAGGATTGAAGTATCTTCTATAGAAATAGTGGCTCATTTTCTACCCTCATTAGTCCACCATCTTTGTAGGATTTTAGCACCAGGGTACAATTATAACAAACCTCACTGGGTCTGAGTTGGTAGCAATACCAAAAGTGGGTAACTTTCTTTTTTAACTATTTTATCAGCTTTATTGTGATATAATCTACAAGTAATGAAATTTACCCATTATAAGTGTATAAAATAATGACTTTTAGTAAATTTATGAAATTGTACATCCATCACCACAATCTTGTTTTACAATTCTATCATCCCAAAAAATTCTTCTAAGCCTGTTAGCAGTCAATCTCCACCTCTATTCCACAACCTACCCCCCTTCTCTCAACAACTGCCAGTTTGCTTTCTATCTCTGTAAGTTTGCCTTTTCTGGACATTTCATATAAATAGAATTATATGATATGTAGTCTTGATGTCTGGCTTCTTTCACTTAGCAAAGGTTTTTGAAGTTCATCTGTGTTGCAGCATCGATCAGTAGTTCTATTTTATTGCTGAAGAATGTTCCTTTGTCTGAATATTCTGTATTTTGTTAATCCATTGGATTTGCCCCAGTGTTTTAACATTCACGTACAAGTTTTTATTTGAACATACATTATTTAG